ANNNCAAACATTNGGTAAAATTTATAGAATATTGTAAAAATTATGGTCTATTACCAACATATATTACACTTACGATAGAAGTTGGGTTGCTAAGGGAGTTAGACTTTGGAACGTTTTAGCTATGCATAACCAATTGCAACTTACAATTGAACACTTTAAGCATTATGCTAAGAGCGAAGTTATGTCCATGTCCGTCGATGTTTAAGATGTTATTATATATATGTATGTGTGTGTATATGTGTGTATGTGTGTGTATGTATATATATATTTTTATTATGTTTAATTCTATTTAACGACTTGTCTACTTTGTGTTTTGTACATTGCACACGAACTTTAATTAGTTAAGGTGGTCTGCACAAGTAGTTTGTTACTTTTTTGATCTCCTGACTTATTTTTTCTGTCAAATAAAATTTGGATTAAAAAAAAAAAAAAAAAAATATTTATATATATATATATACATACACATATATATATATATATATAATATAACGTATATAGGAAATTGTGTATGGCGTTATTGGCCGGTAAATGTTTTATATATAGTTGATTTGCTAAATATGTTATATTCTATATATAGCACCATTCATATTTATTGAAATTATAAATATTATTCAGATGTTATTTTAAATTTATTAAATAATAATTAAATTAGAACAAATGCTTCAAAACTTTCTCAAGTTATTTTTTCGCGTGCCTGAAAATTTTTTATCTTTCAATTGCCAGATGTAGCCATAGACTGAGAGTGGATGGAGAGGGAATGAAAAGTTTTGTTTTCAAAAAAATTTTCAATATTCAACATTACAATTGTTGCTATGTGGGCAAATATGATCATTTTAATAATAAATTTGGTTGAAAATAAACAGAAAATTATCGTATTTTCAATCCGACACATCTGATCGTGTTCGAGTTTTCATTTCATTGGAAAAGTCAAAAATAAAACGTTATATTTCATGAATGCCGTTCATTCAAATGAATTAGATCGCATGAAATAAACGTTTGAATGAACGAGCGAACGAACGAATAAATAACTTGAACGAAAACTTGCCTAGCGGTGGACAGGACACCTGCTTCTGACACAGTTCATCATTCCTCTGAACCTCGGGCAGATCTGATCACAAATTCTTTTCAGTGGAACGTTGGAATGGTAATGGGGCAAATAACAATCTGACTGAACTTCCTTCCAGCACTGTACTTCGGTCTTTCGCTTCTCTACTTGTGAAAAAGGAAAGGAATGCGTGAAGTCTGTCGGGTAGAAATACGACCGTGGGGCTGATGAAAACCTTTGAAATTTAAAAACTTCATACAATCAAAATGACAGTTTATTAAGTACTTCGTTTGAGCCTAACAGTTTAAAAATATATTGAAAAATACGTTATGTGGATAAATAAAAATGTGATCGTTCTTTTAATATCACTGATTCTTGTCTAACTTGGTTTTCTTCTTAACTCTGTAATCGTTTTTCTTCTGTTGTTCTTAATAATTCTAAACGTGTTAAACACTCTTTTGCTAAATCGGTATTTGTTTTTCTGGTCCTTTTCTCTGGAACTCTCTACCTCCTTTTCTGACTACTTCTTACAAAGTTCAGAGCGGATCTCATGACCCACCTGTTTGCAAAATTCAATGAGGAGCGATGTTGAATATCGCGAAAATAGCGTTTCATAAACTAATTGATAGATTGAAAATACAACACTGAACTGAAGCGTGAGAGGAAATTTGAAAGATTGAACTTTGTCTAATTGTGCATGTGCATGCAATCTCAATTTTAAATATTTAGGCACGAACGAATTCGTTCACCATCTTAAAACTTATTATTAGATTTTTTGTACCTATTTTCATTTCACTATCTAAATGAAGTCATTGTATAATAAATCAAACGTTATCACCATGTAGTTATCTCAGCAACATCTCACTGCCTACATATTTTTAAGATCTCATCCATTTAATTTTAAACAAAGAACTGCTGAAGTTAATTTTAATGATTTATTTCAACTTTTAGTAGTGCAAAATAATTTTTAACCGAATTTAATCTTAAAAAATATTTCAAGTAAAAAATTTATGAGCACTTTTTAAGAAGATTAAATTAAAGCTAGACCGTCTTCGTGAGAGCAAATACTAAGAAACCTGCGTGCCAACCCAAATAACAGACCACTTTTGAAAATTGAATAAATAAAAGTTAAGATGAAGAGAGACAAAAAATGAAATAACAAAAACAAATAAAGAATTAGTAGTTGGATTTAAATTTTAAAGTGCTCAGGTTTGTTTGTTTAAGACTTGAAACGGGCAGGACGAGAAACTATCATTATTTACTTTACTCAAATTATCTCAGGTGCTTCATTTTTTGTAGGTTGAATAATTATAACCCACTATTATACAGATCCTTAATCTCGCTTGATCATCTTTCACTATATAAAGGATACAAGTGACTGCACTCAACTGAATGCTCCAAATTATAAATCTGAAATTGCAATCGTGACGAGAAGATCATCCGTTAAAATGTTCAACTTTCGTGCAATAATATTTTTATTATTTATTTCTTCGGTGAGCGCGGCTGACGATCCTGCCGACGTCTGCACAACCTTCCAAGTGCCAGCAACACCTTGCAATAAACCTCAGCTGACCATCCAGAAGGGAGAGGGAAGTTTCAATAAATGTCCAGGTGAAGCAGCGACTGAGGCAGCAAAAACAGCTCCCACTGTTACATTCACGGCGGCAGTTGTAAGTCGAAGACGGCCTGCACTATCAACCTGTCATCATCGCCGTCGTCATCCCCATCTTATCATCACCACCGCTCTACTTCTTATCATCACCATTGTTACATATTTTGAAATTTAATTGCGCGAAGAACAAATTAATTGTAAAATATTTGAAAATATAGGATGAAAAATCTTACCTGCTTGTGATGGTGAAGCAAGAGACTACAAACTTCCAAGCCTTGTGGATCAAAAGTGACATGAAGGTGTGATTTATTTTATTTTATTCAATTTATTAGAATCCACAAACATCTGTTAAATAATGTGGTGGTTGAGGTGCCTGATCCCGCTGCAGTGATCGTATCGAATGCAGAGAGATTCCTTCCTACCTACCGTGTACAACGTGGACACGCGTTTAGTTACCCCAACTCTTCACAAGAGTTGTGTGTGTGTGTTTATTTAAATAAACAAAACAGAGTTAATAATAAGTTACTATTAGGCTTTGATTAAAAATAGGCAGCAGATTTAAAGACGGGAGCTACCAGTGGCACCGAGTCCCTTGGTAAGTTTTTTTAATTTTATGGCGTTTTAAAATATTGATCGTCAAAATATGTTCATTCATTAAATAAACCACTGGCTGTGGAATGTAAGACGAATGTTCTGAAATGATTAACTTGCACCAACCAGCTTACCAGGCGCCGACGTCAGCAGATGCAGCTCCCCAAAAATATCAGTTCTTCCTTTTCGAACAGAGTGCAAGTTTAGCTGGTAACACCGACCTCTCTGCCGAAATTGAAAAAGTTAAGAAAACAAGAACTGCATGGGACCTCGCCGCTTTCATAAAAAAACCAGGCATATGCAAGACATTTGTTGCAGCCTACGAGTACTCGATAACTGCGACAAAAGGTCCTGATACTGCGACCGAGCAGACGACCAAAGCATCAGCTACCACGAAAGCACCGGGAAAGGTTCCCAATGCTGCTGCCTTCAGTTGCAGAAGTCTATTCATCATTTCTTTTTCATTGGTACTAACTTTCATAATTTAAATTGTTGTAGGTCACCATAGACTGACCGAAGCATTTGCATATAACTAATTACTTTAACGCTTAAATTAGAATGTCAATAAAAAAATAACCTCCATTAATCGCCTAGCTTTGTTCATAGACTTTCGTAAACTGAAACGGCTATAACGAAATGGACTTTCTTTCAAAATTAAATACATTCAGATCAAAAGTTTTGCTCGGTAACGATGTTATTAAGCTAATAAAACTTCAACAAAATGACGACACCCATACGAAGAGCAACAGCTAACAGTCAAACAAACAAACAAGCAAAAAAAAATAACATCGCAACTTTCGATGATATTTAAATGGGTAATATTTCAATAGATGCAACAATTAATAAGAAGTGAACGGCATTCAGTCATCCGCTCTCCTCCAACAAACATTTTCAGGGCACTTTTCCATGTTCGCAACAAGTGCTCCCTCTTTACAGCAGTTGAAAGGGAGGAAATTTCTCTCCTTGAAAAATCTGATTTCAAAATTAAAATAATCAGATAGGGAAGCAGGATGGTCAACTGAGCTAACGTATTAATTATATACGCGTATAGGCTTCACCTTCTCAAATTTTCATTTTTCTGTCCAACATCGCCACCTGTTTAGGAAATTTTTTAGAATGTTATTATTTCCCGCCGTAAAATCGCAAATAATTTTTTGAAACCAAAAACTACCAGCATTATAACAAATAAATAAACAAAAAATAAAATGAAAATTAGCGACAGACTGCTAGCTGGTTCCCACTCCATAGAAACGAAAGTGACGTTGACATGAGCAAAAACGTGAGCCCCAGTAACCAGGACCGCGGTTTCCATGGCTTGAATGTCGATTTTCATGACAACTGGTGTCGACTCCAAGTTTTGTGGTCCTGAAATTTTTGACAGAACTGGCTCTAGATCGTTTAACAAGATGGCGTTAACGACCGTGCTTGAGAGTTTGTGGGTGTCTAGAGTTGGATTCGAGTTTAAGGGCTGAAAATAAAATATTCACGCCACTTGTTCAATCACAAATCATAAAAATTAGTTCATTGCGTAAAATTTAAAAATGATAAAAGTCATTACATCACTACGGACCATCATCAAATTATCTCCCTTGTTAACTTTGCTGACGTAAATATTAACTGCTTGCCTATTGACACCAAGAGCATTCTGCAGCAGCACAACATTATCTGTCAAGTTTTCTAACTCCAAAGCTCTGTGAATTCTTTTCAAGTGGTCGGGCGTGGGTTCAACTGCAAGCACACGATGTCCTAACTTGGCAGCTTGTATCGTGTAGTAGCCAATGTTTGCTCCTATGTCGAGAAATATGGCCGTTGGAATTTTTTCTAAGACCTGAAATTGACATGAATCTGTTTACCTGATAAGAGGTTATTTACCAAAGAAGTTAAAAAATATTTTTAAAACACAAACTGCTGAGAAACAATCTGCTAAATTTTCTCAAGAACCTTGTGACAACAAACTTCTACTTATGAAAAAATCTTCAGAGACTGGCAAATAAATGCAGACGTGAAATCCTATTCGCGTCTTCGTCACTAAGCAGTGGAGAGATTTGTCAGTTGTGTGATCACTGAAGTTATAGACATTGATCAAACTGACGACATCTTGTGTGTGTGTGTAACTTCATCAGCACTGCTTGAACTATCTATTGAGGGTGGATATAAATTTTTAGAAAAATTAATTAAGGCGCCGGTAGCTGTGGCATTTTTATGTTTTGACTCGTCATCAGAAGCCAGCGTAGAATCAGTCTCAATACTATAAGAAGTATAAGAAGAAGAAATTGAATTTGTACTGCTGATCATGGCATGCATGTTTTGGAAGGTCTCATCTTCAGAAACCAAAAACGACATCTTGCCAGAATTCGCTCTGCTTAATTAAATTTTTTCTCACGGAACTCAGCGTGAGATCAGATTCACTGATTCTCGACAGTTCTGGTGATTCAACCACAGAACGAGAAGGATGCCAGTTTACAACTTTCTCCTTTTCTCTCAAAGTTCCTTGTTCAAAAATTTTATAACGATAAACGATGCAAATTGCAATAAATATTAATACGATCATTAAAAATATTTTCATCGCTTTGTTGGACATTTTATTTTAAAACTTAAATCTTTTAGAACTCAAATACAGCCGCCACAACATTCAAAATACTTTAACATATAAAAAAGTAAGTAAGACTGTATTCATCTTACAAAGTTGACCTAATTAATGTTCTCGTTACAAAACGGACTCTAATAACTTTAATAAGCGAACGAAGTAATGATTTAAACTTTCACAAAATGTGAATTTAATTATTTTATCCACCAATATTATTATTATCCACCAATATAATTATTTTATCCAATATCAGGTAGGCCATATGATATTGGTAGGCCAGGAGAAAGATTGTTCTACGTATGTTTAGTGATGTTTTAGTAGGAGTTTGGAAATTTTAAATACGTACGGCTTTTTTTGGAAGATGAATAAATGAATGAACAGAAACAGACAAACAAATGAACGAACAATCAATGAACGAACAAACAAATAACTGAGGAGCGGACAAACAAACGAACAAACAGGAATGAACAAATGATTGATTGGAGAAATAAGTGAAGGAATGAACAGCTCCGTTGGCATACGTCACGCTTCAGCAATTCAACCTTCACTTTCATTCTATTTGGAAAATAAAACAACACAATGATGACGACGACGAAGAAGAAGATCAGGGTGATCAGGTATTTTATGGCTGTTATATATTTATAAATAGCATTCATACATTATGCATGTATGTGTGTGTATGTATGTATATATATATATATATATATATATATATATATGTGTGTGTGTGTGTGTATGTATGTGTGCATGTCTATGTATGCATGTTTGTTTGTATGTACTGTACATACATATGTATGTGTGTGTTTATGTATTTGCATGAAACGAACGCATTCGTGCAGAGCACACACCTGAAAACTCGCCGATGATGGAAGCCTGGGATTGATTATGATTTATGCTATTATGAATATTAATAACACAACGTGGATGTCTATAAATGTGAATGAATGTTAGTATGTTTGTATGTTTGCATGCATGTTTGTATATTTGTGTGTATGTATGTTTGTTTGTTAATTTGTTTGTTTGTTTGCGCGTGTAGAAGACTTCTTCCACATGCATGACGAGCCGGCAAATTTCCAAGAATAAATAAATGAAATAACAAGAAATTACTTCACACAAGCTGATAGATAAATGCAAGGATGCATACAAGCACGCATACAAAGATACATACGAACATACAGACAGAAGTTGAACTATTGTAAAAATTTTAACAGAACAAA